ATTCGCACCGGGACCCACACCTTGCATGCAAGCAGCTTGTTGTAGGCTGCTGCATATTGATATCTTTATGATATAACTTTTGTAACCTATAACTCACATTCTCGTCCAACACCTACTTTACTTCCTCTCATTATCGCGAACCGTACATTTATTTTCATATCGCAGGTTGTAGGAAATTCTCTGCTGAGTTTCGAACATGCCATCAAAAGTGGTTCGAGCAATTGACGGGGTAGGGTGCAGGCCTAGTTCCAGATCAAACCTTGAAGAATACAAATGAGCGGAGAGTTGGGCCTCTAAAAACTTTCTTCATTCGATTGGCCTTTCTAGTAGCGATGGGTTTTTCATGTCACTATCTTATCACAGTCGGAATCATTTAGCTGATAGACAGACCAACCGACAAGCACAAAAACAAGCGAACTCATTAATTTATGGGCTCATATCAGTCGGATCGTACTCCGGACTTCCCTTTTTCTTGTTACAAAGTCGGAATGTACGGTTGACTATGAAGTAGTGGTTGAGGCAAGGGGAACAATAGCATGGAAAAATGAAAGTTGAGGCAGATGTTCATTGTCACCCCTTCTAACAACCCTTTCGATCGTATGGCTGTCCATAGTCCACTACTGAGCCAATCCTCCGGGGGATGATTTATTTGAGAATTCGCAGACTACAGGCAGCAGCTAGACTCAGTTGTAACTGCCCGTCATTGCCTCCCCTTTTGTAAAACAGCACAGTCTTGTTAGTTTTTTTACAGAGTGAACACTGCATTTCAATCGGCACAGCGTAAAGTGTCGTAACAGAAATTTGTTGATTACTGTAAAGAGATTTAGAATCCAATACAAATAGGCATTACGTGTTTCACACATCCGTAATGAAGGGCCACCACATATTTTCCGAGTAATTTACATCAATAGACCGAATACCGGAGCATTTTATAGCCAGTATGCATTTGACTAAGTAGCCGGACTCGAATGGTACGATCCGAAGGGCGAGGACGGCAGCTAACTTGGGGAGGTGAACGAAATGTCCTTCATGGGTACTAGCTTGGACCCCGCCTAGTTAAGAGACGAAAAGAAGCGTCGAATTGGATAAGAGATAGTGTTTAAGTGATATATACATACATATCAACACCATTGTTGTCATCCCGAGTGTGCTGACTAGCCGTCAGAACAATAGTGGTTTGGTCTAGGAAACCGTGCTAACGTTTGAGCCCCACAAATAACTAGGGCAGGCGAGACCACTATGAAAGATTTACAGCGGGCATGACCGTGGAAATTTGAACCTGAATGGAGTTATCCCGGTTTTAGTTTGACAATACCGGATGAGCGAAAGTAAAGAAAGGTGTTCAGGAAGCTAATCGTAGTTTTCAAATAATTCTTTACATCTTCAAACTGTAATCATTCAAATAACGAAGTGAGTGACTAGCTGAAGGAACCATTGATCTGGAACAAAAAAGAGGGATCTTTATCTGTAGAAAAGAGTTGCCACCTTTAGTCATTAATGACTGTCCAAAGGCGAAGTACCAGCTTTGGAAATCTACAGGTACATAGCGGAGCTATTCCACTCATCATTCCTTTCTTTTGATGGAATTCGCCCAGCAAGCGAGATCAGTGATGACAATTCGCGCATTCACAGCCGTAATATGTATTGCCGTTCCTTTTTCTCCGAAAAATTGGACGAAAGTCCAATACTTCCCTATGTACATTTCCATTCCTACACTGCTTCCCAAACCCAACTATTCATACGGCACTTCTTCACAATTTTGAATTCCTTTGCATACATAATTTGCATTCATTTTCCTATTGTTGCTAAGTATCTTTTTGACTACAGTAATGTACTCTGGGTTTTGGACCCCTGATGGGTTTCTCTCAGGTTGCACCATTTATACTTACATAGCCTGTTGGCTTAGGGTGCTCCAGTTTCTGCCACCATCTACTACGGGTAAATCCCATGTTCAAGCGGAACCACAAGCTTCTTTAACTTGGTGCTATGTTACTGTCGATTAGTGAACTTGTCTTAATCAGCACTTTCTTCCATCTGCATCTATGGCATTGCAAGATTCTTAACACTTTTTCTAGAGCATTTCTTATAATTCCACGTCAAAAGGGCATCACTGATTTTGACTGATATGAATTCATTGACAAGTATGGTGCGATCCTTTTTCTCTAGCTTAGCCTATTTCCGCTGCAAACCAGGATGCTCCTGAACCCCAACTTTCGGAGACACTCCAATACCGTAAGAGACGGAAAGAACGAGGGGACTCTACATGGTAGATAAGGAGATTTTCCAAGATTTTCTCCCATCTCATTCTAATGCTGGTTAATTTGGTGGGATTTACCTGGTGGGACTTTTCTAGAATTTCTTCAATTTTTCGTCTCCATAAACCCGATGCTGTCCTTCAAATGGCCCTATGTGAACCGACCTGGAAGAATCTTTGACGGATGAGAATATAAATTTCACACTCGCACCCCCATATCTCCTGCAAATCTCTGACCATTTGTCTGATTCTTTTGAGTTGCCTTTTTTCAGATCTTCGACAGATGATTGTACTCTTCGTTGTCGGCCTTTTAGTTCCATCTGTATGGGCCGGTGAATGTTCCATCAGTAGCGGAGACATTTCAGCTGAGATTAGGGTAAGTAGAATAGTGCTCCTGACAAGGTCGCCCTATTAAGGGCCTGAAAGAATTGGAGCAATTTGGGTCTGCTCAACCAGACATCAGCCTAACAAAGTTCATACCATCCCAAGAAAAGATCCTTCTAATATTTCGTCACACTGATCTGAAAAGTGCATATCACTCACGAAGTTGATGTGTTTTACAAAATAACCAATTGGCTTTGCACTTTTGCACCATCTATGATGTTAAACATGATTCCATGAGTGGCATGTACCACACCCATCATGAAAGTATATCTGTGTTTTATTTATTTGTTTGTTTACACGTCTGTGAGAGACGATTTTTTGAAATTGATCTTATTTTTGGCATGAGAGGAACATTATGATCAAATGAGTTTTTTGATTGTAAAAATCTTTGAAAGCACTAATCCGATTGATTTCGGCCTTCCGATGTTTGGGTTTTAGATTAAAAAGGCATGACTGATAATTAATCGCAATCATAATCACATTAGCTTTAATGTTTTTTCTACTTGAAGTTAAATACGACAAATAAATCGCTGTAGGTCTCTACAGTCCAAGATTTCCAAAGGTTCAGATGAATCCAACGTACTGGCTACTATTTGTAGGTTACTCTGAAGATTCGTAGGTTACTCTGAAGATTTGAGTTTTAAGCGGCTGCTTCAAACTTCAAGGTTTTGCTCTACTCGTCTTCGACGAATAAAAAACTACATGAACAGCGCAGAACTTACTCTCGGCTTCGCAAACCAGCCCCTTCGACCAAACTCATACGGCTAGCGATAATGATCATGTTGTGGGGCTGTGGGACATTTCTAGAAATTATCCTACCAACCTTGTCTACGGTGTGCCTCGAAGTACTGGAGGCTCAAAGGACAGAGATTTATCAGGCATTAAAATTGCGGAAAATCCTAAATAATGTTTTGGCNTGGATAAGATGAGGTTGTAAGATGAATAACCTTAGTGGGCGGGGTCAGCATGAGATGGGCGGGGATTCGCAAAGAAATCATTTCAGTATCTCAACGTGAAGGGTTTTCTATGAATAGAAAAAAGCGCTTGCAATAGGACGTATTTTACCGAAAGCTCGTGGATCGAGTATGGGGTAAGACTCATACGGGGGGTTCCATGGACAAACTTCTTAAGAGAAGGGTTGCTGATGGTGATCGAAAAAACTCTTCTGAAGTTCGAAATGACAAGTTGGTGGGACCTACATAAGATGAGAGAGGGCGGATGGATGAAAATTCATTCGTGTGACAGTGTGAGACTTAACCACTAATTTCGTGGTGATTCCGTTCTTACCTCAATATCGAAGGATAGAATTTTCGGGCTCCCATGGAACACTATGGCATGCTTCCCAGCTTCATCATTTCATTTCAGGCTGAAGGCGACAGAGTAAAAGTGAAATTTGTAAATCCGAATATCGCCAATGATAAGTGGACAGGAGTCGCGTTCGGCAAGAAAATGGTACGTAGTTAACAAGACTGACTACTAGTAAGACTGTTTCATTACGAAAATTGAGTAGGCGGCCTAGTGCAGCTCTCGATCCTTTAATGCCGTTTCTACCGTATTAATGA